ATTATATGTTATTCAGGTGTTATTATGTTCGGAAAATATTCCCAGTGTTATAGTAACACAATAACACATCAATAATACTTGAATAATACACAATAATATCTGAATAACACACAATAACACCTGAATAACACGAGTAGAATATTCCCTAGTGTTACCGGGTCGATCACCTCCACGACGTAATTTCATTGGACTCCGCACGTAGCTTTACGTTCAGAGTCCTGATGTATTATTTTTTTTCCTAATACTGATGTTTTTTAATGTGATGTTAAAAATCCAAGTATTTGCATATAAATATAAAAATTTAGACGTTGGATATGTAAATACATAAATTGCACTTTTAGCCAACAACTATGCAAATATGACCACAAACTACATATTTTGTGCGCTTGCTTCAATCGGATGAGTTAATTTACATGTCTCCAAGGAACCATAGCTTGAGAAAATGACTTGGGAACTTTGGCCACAGATGAGTTGCAAAGAGATTCCATGTTTTTCTTATGATTGATTGAGTTAATGCATGAAGATATAACTAGATATAGCTCACATAATGTGTGGGAAAAAATTCCTCTATCCTTAGAACTTTATGTGCTTTTCAATGTAGATATGGAGGAATATTGGTGATGTGAGACCATGAAATATTGCTTTTATGATTTGTTGGATGTCACTTTTATTTTCTATTTTTATTTTTTGTTTTTGAAAATAGACTTGATTAGTATATGTTTTACACGTTCTTAATTTAAAAAAAAAAGATCATTTTTTTTATAAAACATTCGAAAAGTCTAAAATATACTTCAAATATTTTTTAATTTAAATCAAAACATAAATAAATTAATAAGAAAAAATAAGTGAAAAACAAAAAGTAAAAGTGATCCCAAACATCTCTTTAGAAGCCGATGGGGTCAATTCTATTTTTTATCTTTTATATTTTTTTTTATTTTGTTTTATTTATGTTTATATTTGAAACAAAACATGTTTGACATATTTGATTAATAAAATATGAATTTTTTTAAAAAAAATATTTAAAACATATAGAAATTATTTTGAGTGCTTTCAAAAATATTTTTATTTATATTTTATGATGGAATGATTGTCTCTTAGACATAATTAAATAAGATCATTACCATATATTCAGGTATCCAAATAGTGAAGAAATTTAAATGATGTCCAATTGACTATAAATATGCATACATTAATTATCCCTTACTATTATTATTATTTAAATAATTTGCTTATGTTGTAATTCTCAGGATCCAAATGCAATCTTAGGTTTAGTTATATACACCTCTTTCTATATTCATTTCTACTCAGTATTACATGTGTTGGTAACTTAATTTTATGCAATCCCCCTTTGAGTTCAAAATTGTCCTCAAATCACACCCGATGAATAAAGCGTAAAACATAAAAGAGAGATGGTGAAAGAGAGAGAGAGAGAGAGTAGATTGCATGGTAATGAACCATTGTTGACCTCACTTTTGTGAGGTCTATCCTCTCTCTAGATGCCTAGGATCTAGTCTTAGGGATTTTCTAGTGGCTCTCATAGAAGACTAGTGAAGGAACCAACACCAATGTAGAACTCCAAGCAAATCTTCACTCTATAAGGCTTGATATGCTAGATCCCAAATCCTCAACTTTTGGTTGTGATGATTAGAGTTTAGTCATTAAAGCCAAATTTGAGTTCCTATGAGGTGGAGAAGGTCTTAAGTAACCCTTTGACCCTAAAAACTTCAGGTTCCATTTTGGTAGCCCACTTTGCACCCCTAACATCTATTAATCCTTATTTGATCTAAAAGAAGCACATTGGGCATGAGACGAACTTTGGACCAAATGAAGGTTCACCTTCCCATTGGAAATCCTAAAAAGGCTTTAAAACTTAAAAATTTGAAATTATAAGAATGACTAAAGTCAAACCAAAAAATTTTCTTTTCTAAGCCAAACACCACTAAAATTGTTAAATCCAAAATAAAACTAATAAAACACAATTCACTTGAAATCATCAAACCCCAACTTAAACACCAAGGTTAAACCCATCAATTGATGTAAAATTAAAACAACGTTAAAAATTCATTAAATCTTAAATATGCCATAAGCAAACTTAAAATCAACATCACCCAAAATTCACCATATATAATTGAGCACCAAAATTAAAACTCTAATATTTTATTTTTTTTAGAACCCAAATCTTAGATATCAAATTGTAGTCCCTAAAATTTAAACCCACCAAATGGAATCAACATTGCACCTACCCAAAATTGAAACAACCCATAAATAAATAAAATTATCAAAACCAGCATGAAGATGATAGATCATATATTAAGTTATTTAACACAAGAAAAGCCAAAATGAAAGGTTCACCAAGAGTTAAGAAAATTCAATAGTGAAACTAGCACAAACCAACATACCATAAAATTTTATGAATTAAAATAATTAGTCAAACAAATTAAAAGCTAAAGGCCCAAAATTAAAATGAATCCATCAAACCCTAAAATCTCAAAGTCTATCACCCAAATAACAAACTCAAATCCTCATAACCCTAACACCCACCATGACACATTAACCCACTAAGGAAGCAAATTAAATAAAAAATAATCAAACTTAAGACAAACAATAAAGGAAAAAATTAATGATTTTAAATCCAAGGCTCAACAAGTGGCATATAAGTTAAACCAACCCAAGTCCAATCCAAAGGAGATCAAACTCAGGTTAAACCAACCCGTCCAGAGCCATGTGTTCGATTAAAATGACATATCCACTGTCGTGTGCGATCCAATGCGCTACTTGATATGCATGATGTGTTTCATCCACGTGATCGCTACCTGCGCCTGGTTTGGCAGCTGTCGTTGTCCCATGTTTTAGACTTGACCTGACCAAACTAGACAACATAACAGCTGCGTTCATGTCCCTGATCCGACCAACTCATTTCATCCCATGACCCGTGACCTGGGTTGCCTGTGATCCACTACAGCATGCTACCCGCGTTGATCCACTATGACCCACACTTCTCATGCACATTTTCCTTTACCTATCACCGCACCATGGCCCCACTACCACCAGTTGTTGATCGCTGCCCTTTTCCGCTTATCCTTGCCACCAGCCAACACACTACCTGCCACCAATTTTATGAAAATTTTCAATATTTTTTATTTTTATTTATTTTATTATTTTCAGATGATACAAACTAAATCATACAAAAATAGGGAGAAATTGATGTGTCGCAACCTAGTTTTACCATTTTTTAAGAATCAAGGCATTTAACATGTATCTTGTAGTATTTTTTAAGTAGGAAAAATTTCAATCAAAATTAAAAATCTTCGAGAGCTATGATTTGAACAAACTTATATTCAAACTAAGCTCGATGAGAGAAACTAATTGATTCTAAAAAGTAGTCTATTCTGAGCTGAATCAAGCCCAACTCAAGTTGTTGAACCACTTTTAGAGAATTTTGGTGGTAAATTTGAGGATCACATGAATTCCAAATTTGATGCACCTATAATCAAATCAAGCATCTCGACTAGAGGAATCCAACGGCTCTAAGATCACCCGATTATGAGGTCATTAAGGCTATCAGATCAGCAAAAAAAAACTCCTATGATTAAGGAGTATCATTGCGCGCTATTTGATTGGGTGGTTATGGGAGTTATTTGCTAAATGATGAAAATGCTCCTCCCATAAGGGCTATAAATAGACCCCCTCATATCACATGAGAGGAAGGAAGAGAAGGAACCTACTTCTAACGCTATTCTAGATTGAAGACACAATGATAGCTTTCGACCATTATAGTTGCCTTCCACTGTCTGTTACAACTCACCAATCTTAGTCAACCACCACCAGCCGCCCCCCAAATTCACTGTCATTGGCGGGCTCTGTTAAGTAACGAAATAATCTATTGAGTAATGAAGTTTCATGTCAAGTAATGAAGACTTTATTGAGTAATAAAGTACTCTATTGAGTAAATAAGTACTCTATTGACTTCAAATAGTTGTTTTATATATTTGATTAATGATTTTTCATGTTTAAATAATCTTCACTTAAGAAGGTCCAAACATAATCATGATATGAGCCTTCTAGCTCCTACGTAGTTTGATCACATGAAGTTTGATGTCATTAATCTGATTAATTTTAGTGAAGTACGTACAACGAAGCAAATCTAATCTAAAAAAACTCTAGTAAAACGACCCTCTAATTTTGATCACGATCAATTGTAATCATAAAATAATTAGTATAGATTCTTTTGTCTCATTAAAATTTTTATTAAAAAAATCTTGAAGCTTAGGGCCCCATTGGTATTAAAATATGTATTTTCCAAATATGCAGGATTTCATCATTTTGACCAAAACTAAAAAGCAATAAAAAAAGGTGCAAATTTGCAAATAGCAATGTTTTAAGGGCTATTTTTTTCTCAACAATTTAGTTGCTGACATACTTCCAAATGAGCAATTAATAGCTAGGATATTGGACATATTTGAGTTGGATTTTGTTTTTTCATGATTTAATGAATATATTTAAATTCAGAGTGTAGACATTCTTATGAGATGCTAAGCCATGCCTTTTTATTTTTCATGAAATTAATTATGGAAGGTATTTTCTACAAGAAGAAGAATTATCTTTCAAAACCAAAAGAATTATTTTGCCTTAAAATGAACTATAAATCTTACTCCCCCTAAGCTAAATTTAACTTAGAATATCCCAAGCAAAAAATTTTCTTTAACAATTTTATAAGCATGAGATTACTAAAATGTCAATACTGCTTAATATTAGGGAAATTCATATAAACACCACATACATACATATCTAACACTTAAACTTTCATATTTACAGTTATAACATTTTGATGTAAACAGTCTATGAATAAAAATGTATATTTCACTTTTAAAAAGTAGTGGTTTGTGTTATTTTTGATGTGATATTAAAGATTTGAGCATCATGCATATGTAAATATTAAAGCTCAGGTGTTAGCTACATAAAAGCATAAAAATTGTGCGGTATTTATGTTAATGCCCCATTTTAATATTTTCATTTTCCATGCAGAAACAACAGTGCTTGCCGAGTTAAACTGCCTTACAAATATAGCACAAATATTACAAAAAAAACCCTCATTGACATGAATTTTTAATTATAATATAACCCTCAGAACCACTCCATCCATATACCCAAACTTCATTTTTACTCCTGTCATTTTAATCCTTGCTTTTTTAGATTCATAATAAATCAATAACATACTGAAAATTCAATACAAAATGCAAAATCTCTCATTTCCAAAACTAAGAAACTAACACTCATTTCCCTTCACTTTCTTCCCATACATATTAATCATGTTAACATCAAGCACTCAACATTTTAAAACTTCTTGTTTATGAAGGGAGACAAGACAATTAGACAAACTTAAAACACTCATATGTATTTTACTGAAAATCTGACGTTATTATATATTATTTATATATATATGTCATGGAGCTAAAGCCAAAGGGCACCTGCATCTCTCAACAGGGGGACCAACTTGCCGCTCAGATGAAGAGACATAACCTTATCAGTAGATCCAATGAGTTTTTCTCCGATAAAAACAGCAGGCATGGGAGGGTTACGACCAAGAAGCCTTGAAAGAGCCTTCTCCATTTCTTTTCCACTTGGCTCCTCGTCCAGTTCGTATATTGCAGGGTTCACTCCAAGCTCACATATTAGACTTTTAACTGTGTGGCACATGCAGCATGAAGTGGTGCTGAAAATCACCACAGCTTTCTGTGACACCAATTTGTTTATCTTGTCCATGGATGATTATTGCAGAATGGAAAAATGGGAGAGCAAAGCTTGAGGAAAGTTGCTGTCTTGGAATGGTTTTTATAGGGTTGAGGCCAAGGAAGGGATTAGGGATGAAAATGTGTAATTTTGATGAGAGTTTTGAAAATGATTGGTTTGGTTATTGCTTGGTTTTGGTTATTTGAGATGGGAGTTGGGACTGGATAATGTGATGTTTGCTTTTCTGTTTGGGACAGCTGAGCTTTGAGGTTTTGGAATATATGCGAAAATAAGGCACTGTCTCTGGATGTCACATACTCACATGGTAGAAATAGACTTAAGGGTATGTGATTCTTGGGATAGGGAGGTCGGCAATATATGGTGTTAATGGCCAAATCAGCACAAGTGGATAACTTTGTAGCTTTCATGCATTGTAGCATAGTGATGATTAAACCTAAGTTGCTTAATGATTTTTGTAATTTTTCTAAGTGATAATTTGTTAGATTTTTTCAAAGGATTTGTTATTATCATTTGGCTAATTATCAGCAAGATTGTCGGTTGTGTCTGATTCTACTTGTGTGCTTGAAAAGTATATGACGTTAAGTTTAAAATTTAGTTCTTAGTTTGTTATGGAGGAGCCTGATTTCAAGCACCCGTGTGTTGCATAGATTGAGCAGCCGCGTTTATGCACCGTGATTCGGGTGCTCTTGCACCCTTCCCTAAGGAGTAGCCAAGAGAAAGGCGCTTCAGTGCTTCCTTATAGGCAATTTAGGCACCCAAAATTAGGCGCTCTAGTGCCCACTTCGAGCACTTTTGTGCCTACAACCTCAAAAGTGCTTTTGCTTCCTAATCTGCTAGCACTAAGGAGCCCAATTTTGGGCGGGCGTTTAACACGTGCTTTGTAACTTTAAGGAGGAATTCAAACAGAGTATGTAGGTCTTTTTGTGTGTTTTTTTTCAACAAAAATCCCGGTTAATGTGAGAAGCATTGGAGAGGAAGATTTCACTGATTTTGACGTGTGATTCTTGCGTCAGGTCAGAGAAGTAAGAGTTTGGAGTGAGGTCTTGTAAGTTTTTTTGAGAGAGCAGAGGAAATTGAGTGTGTTCTCTATAAAGCCTCTAATTGTCATAGTGGATTTTTTTTAGTGGTGCGGCTCGGTGTTTTATTTTTCTGTTCTCAAATTTTTTTCACGTTAATTTTTTTTGTGCTTTTCTGGTTTGTTTTTGTTGTGCTTATGTTCATAAGATTGTTTCAATATTATCAAATCTACATGATCATATTCCATGGTGTGGCTTAGATTTGTATCAAGTCTAAGCCCTGGTAAATTTGGAAGGGAATTCTTCCAAGTTCTTTCCTCAACACATTGGTATCAAAGTCGTGTTTGATTCGAGTGGGAGCAAAGGCTGACAAAGCAAGGTTCAAAGAGGAGAAGTTCAATGGTACAAACTTTGCATTCTGGAAGATGTAAGAAAAGGATTTACTGTATCAGAAAAATTTATACTTGCAAGTACAAGGAATTACAAGGAAGCCTGAGTCTATGCCAATAGAGGAATGAGAAGTGTTGGATCAAATGACACTTGGTTTGATTCAACTATCACTTTCTCATCTGTTGCATTCAACGTTATAAATGAAAAAATCATAGTGGATCTCATGATGACATTAACCATGATGTATGAAAAAAAAATCTTTTTCAAATAAGATTTTTTTCATAAGAAGCCATTGAACATAAAGATGGTGGAAGGCAATTAGTGGAAAAACATCTGAATACTTTCAATAATGTGACGAGCTAGTTGTGTCTTGTGGGGATCAAATTTGATGATGAGGTCAGAACACTAGTGATACTATCTTCATTGTTAGACATTTGTGATGGTTTGGTCACGATAGTGAGTAATTCTTTAGGAAATTCAAAGTAGAACTTCAATGACATTGTGTGTATGGTACTGAATGAATAAGCTCGCATAAAAATAGGGAATGATGAATCTTCATGTTTTTCATTGAATGTTGATAATAGATGAAGGTTTCTTCATAGGAATGTAGGCACAAGTAGATCCAAGTCTGACACAGGAAAGTCTAAGTCAGGTAGAGGAGAATGCTGGAACTGCAGTAAGAAAGTACATTTCAAGAAGAGCTGCAAAGCTTTAAGAAAAGTTGATGGTGGAGGAGAAGAAAGTAATTTCTCTATAAATGACTCTACTGGTGAAATCCAAAACGACTCCATCATGTTTTCCTTAGTCAGCACGAAATCTTAGATTGTAGATTCAAGTATCTCTTTTCATGCATGCCACAAAAAAGAAGTATTTAAAAACCACACTCATAGCAATCTAGGGAAGGTTTTTTTGATAGATAATAAAGCTTGCAGTGTCTTATGAAATGGCGATGTTGATATCAGATTGTCAAATGGAATGGTGTGGAAGCTTACTGAACCTAAACATGTTTTAAATCTAAAGAAATTACATTTATGTGTTTAAGCTGACAAAGTCAGGACTTGTGACGACTTTCATAGGTGATTCGTGGAAGGTAATCAGGGGGACACTGGTGATGGTTCGTGGCATCATTGAAGGTGCTCCTTACCTGATCAATGAAATGACTAATTTCATAGATGTAGCTCAAACCACGCTTGATGCAGGTCTGCGACACCGTAGGCTTAACCATATAAGTGAGAAAGGTATAAAGTCCCTATTTTATAAAGATAAACTTCATGGTTTAAAATTTGTTGATCTGGATTTCTGCGAATAATGTATATATGACAAGCAAAAGAAACCCTCCTCCTCTAAAAGTGAATCATTGATGAAGTCAAGGAAACTAGAGTTGGTGCATACTAATATATGGGATCCTACTCTAGTTTTGTCCACTGATGTTTCCCGCTATTTTTTTCATGTTTATCAACGATCACACAAGAAATATATGAGTTTACTTCTTAAAGCAAAAATCTAATATGTTTGAAGTGTTTAACAAGTGAAAGGCTATAGTATAAAATGAGATAGTCTTGAAGTTGAAGTATCTCAGATCAGATAATGGGAGTGAGCACTATATCAGAAGTTTAGGAATTTTTGTACTACAAAGAGGGTTAGCCATGAGTTCACTACCCTAAGGACACCACAACAGAATGGTGTGGCTAAGTGCAATAACACCGCAATAACACTCAAATATCACCCCAATAACACTCTAATAACACCACGGGTTACCTCAAATAACACCGTAATAACACCCAAATAACATTGCAATAATATTCAAATAATACCATAATAACACTCAAATAACACTGCGGGTACTGCAATAACACTCGAATAACATCGCAATAACAATCGAATAATATTGTGGTATAATTTGAGGTGACCCAGTGTGTTATTGGTGTATTTTTGGCAGGGGTGTTATTCGAACAAATTTGTGGTGTTATTACGATGTTATTGTGATATTATTGTGTTGTTATGACCGCTAAAAACACACAAATAACATGCTATTTTTCGAAGCATCAAAGTGATATTAAAATATTTCCTTAAATATATTTCCTTATATTTATTTCCTTATATTTAAAATGAAATGAGTATATTAAAATATTTCCTTTTATTTATTTCCTTATAAGGAAATAAATATTGTAAAATATTCCGTTAAATTTTTAATATTAAAATGAATATATTAAGATATTTCCTTATATTTATTTCGTTATACTTAAAATGAAATGATTTTTTTTAAATATTTCTTTATATTTAAAATGAAGTGAATATATTAAAATATTTATTTTTATCATTTCCTTATAACGAAATGAATATTTAAAATATTCCTTTTCTAAGGAAATAAATATAAAAAAATATTTTAATAGCTTACAAATAAAAATTTCCTTATATTTATAACTTATTAAAATATTTTTTATATTTATCTGTTTATTTGATTTAATAAATTTATCAATAAAAAATACTAATCTTTAATTTTAGATAGAATTATTAATAAAATGAAAATAGCACGTGCAATTATATAAAAAAAAAAGAAATTATTTATACCACTCAAAATCATTTGCTACACATGAAAAATGCTATACTTCTCACTGTTATGTTGCCATTGTATTGTTGTTGTATTAACCGGTGTTATTGTCGTTATATTGAGTTGACAAAAATATGGAAAAGTCTCAAAACTACACCTAATAACTCACTCGAGAATAACACAACACAGCCGCTGCAATTTCAGTTGAAAAAACACCACAATAACACCATAATAATACTCTAATAATACCGCAGATTTTTTCGGCGGTGTATTGGAGATTTTTTGCGGTGTCATTGGCATCGTATTTCAGTGATATCGGTGTTTTCTGTGGTCTACTGGAGTTCCCCGCGGTTTTGTGGAATGATGGACGGGATTCAATTTGAATCGGGCAACAAGAAAAACACACTTTTTTTCTATTTTTAAGGGCAGGACCCGCATTTACACATGGCGATTTTAATTGGCGTCCGGACGCAAAATTGTATCTAGTGTCCCGACGTTATAATAGGGAATAAGAGATTAGGTCTCATTCAGACTTATAAAGTGATGAGGATTTAGGGTTTTTAGACGTTGGATCCTAAGGCTACAACTAAGTTTTAATTATGATGATTATTATAAAATATTCATTTTAATAGCATTTAATATGTTTTTTTCTAGTTAACAAAATTTTAATAAATTATATAAATTATTTAAAAATAACACTCATATTATATGTACACACACATATATATGTATCTATATATATACATACATATCTAACAATATGTATATATACATACATATGTATGTACAGATACATACATATATATAAATACACGCATGCATATACATACATACATACATCCATACAGATACATACATACATGCATATAGATACATACATACATACATGCATATAAATACATACATACATACATACATGCATACACATACATACATACATACATACATGTATGTATATATATAGATATATGTATGTATATAGAATAATGT